GGGGATTTACGATGTTAGGGGTTCTTTCTTGGGGTCCTTTTATAAGGGGACCCTGCTATATGGGTGGCTGTCAAAATTATGATCCCTTTGGGGGTACCCTAAATGTTAGGTGCCGTATTCCAATAAGGATCCAAAAAGGGACCTCTCGTGAACCCCCCACGCTGAGGTTCGCGCATTGAGATAGTTCAAAAGACCCTCGGTGTCAAAGACCTTCCGGCTTGGCCGAAGGCTGGGCTGGGCTGGCTTCTTGTCGACATGGAGCCTACTAATAGCTTTACCCCCCCCCCCCCCAAAAAAAAAAAAATGAAAATACTCTTCCATATTAAGGGTCATCTAGGGATTACATTTCTTTCTTTTTTGGGGGGTTCTTAAGCAAAGAGGAGTTCAGTACGGCTACGGGCTCAGCATGGGTTAGGGTTTAGGGTTTAGGGTTGAGGGTTGAGGGTTGAGGGTTGAGGGTTGAGGGTTGAGGGTTTCCCCTATACTTCCCTCAACTTGAACCATGAAACCCTCCATCCTTTTGCGCCCAACCTGGCGGCCGTATGCAAAGGTTTAGGGTTTAGGGTTTAGGGTTTAGGGTTTAGGGTTTAGGGTTTAGGGTTTAGGGTTTAGGGTTTAGGGTTTAGGGTTTACCCTATACTTCCCTCAACTTCAACCATGAAACCCTCCATCCTTTTGCGCCCAACCTGGCGGCCGTATGCAAAGGTTTAGGGTTTAGGGTTTAGGGTTTAGGGTTTAGGGTTTAGGGTTTAGGGTTTAGGGTTTAGGGTTTAGGGTTTACCCTATACTTCCCTCAACTTCAACCATGAAACCCTCCATCCTTTTGCGCCCAACCTGGCGGCCGTATGCAAAGGTTTAGGGTTTAGGGTTTAGGGTTTAAGGTTTAGGGTTTCGGGTTTAGGGTTTAGGGTAACCCAAACGATCCCAAGTACTCCCGGTGGCTCCCAAACCCTAGGGCTCCAAGTATACAAAGAACGCCTACATGTGGGGGTCTAAGTCTGTAAAGAATGCCTACTTTGGGCTATGTGGGCGGCTGTCAAAATCATGGTCCCTTTTTGGATCCCTATTATAATACGGCACCTAATATTTAGGGTACCCCAAAAGGGACCATGAATCTGACATTAGGATTTTTAGAAAGGCCCAAGCAAATGTATATGTATATACCCTCTACTATACAGGTAGATTGGGTAGTTGTCTAAGTCAGGGTCCCTTGTGGGAGTCCCCGTTTAGGCCGTACAACTAGTAGGACCCTGACAAAAGGACCCTACTAAACCCTATAAACCCTAAACCTTGAACCCTAAACCCTCAGCCCTATAAACCCGAAACCCTAAACCCAAAGCCCTAAGCCGTAAACCCTAAACCCTCAGCCCTATCAACCCTAAACCCTGAACCCTAAACCCTCAGCCCCATAAACCCTAATCCTAGAAGAACTGGGAGCCCAGTAACCATATTCTAATAAGGGCACCCTTTTTGGTTGGTTACTTTATAAGGGAACCCAGAAACGAAAAAAAAAAAAGGGAAAAGGGTACCACTGGGTTACCAAGTAGAAGAACTGGGAGCCCTAAGCCCTTAACCCTAAACCCTCAGCCCCATCAACCCTGAACCTTGAACCCTAAACCCTCAGCCCTATAAACCCTAATCCTAAAAGAACTGGGAGCCCAGGAATCATGTTATAATAAGGGCACCCTTTTTTGGCTGGTTACTTTATAAGTTTACAAGGGGACCCAGAAACGAAAAAAAGGGAAAAGGGTACCACTGGGTTACCAAGTAGAAGAACTGGGAGCCCTAAGCCCTAGACCCTAAACCCTCAGCCCCATCAACCCTAAACCCTGAACCCTAAACCCTCAGCCCTATAAACCCTAAACCCTAAACCCTAAACCCTAAACCCTAAACCCTAAACCCTAATCCTAAATGAACTGGGAGCCCCAGGAGTGGCCTTCTGGTATCCCAGGAGGATGAGCACGAAGGCGGTGATGAAGACGCCGAGAAACCCGGGCAGGAAGAGAGTCTGTGCTTTGGTCATCCAGTAGCAGAACCTTCCCACGGGTTTAGGGTTTAGGGTTTAGGGTTTAGGGTTTAGGGTGTAGGGTTTAGGGTTTAGGGTTTAGGGTTACTTGTTCTTTTCGTTCTAGGGCTTCTTCCCCAAGGCAGGCTTCCGAAAGAGACCCCTCCAGCTTAAACCGCCTAAACCCCCAAGCCCGAAGACCCCCAGCCCTAAAACCCCAAAACCCGAAACCCAAAAAACCCGAACTTGAATTGCATCCCAGCAAACCCTAAACCCACACCCTAAACCCTAAACCCTAAACCCTAAACCCTAAACCCTAAACCCTAAACCCTAAACCCTAAACCCTAAACCCTAAACCCTAACCCCTACAAAATGGTAGGTTCTAACCCCCTAAATACAAGGCATGACCACCAAAAAAGTTTGGGGTTCGAGGGCTTGGGGTTTGGGGTTTGAGGGTTTGAGGGTTTGAGGGTGTGGGGTTTACGGGGTTGTGGGGGGTTTGGGGTGTAGAGTGTTAGAAGGCTTGGGGTTTAGGGTGTAGGGCTAGAGGGGCTGGGGTTTGAGGGTTTGAGGGTGTGGGATTGATGGGTGTTTTTGGTGTTTGCGGTTTTAGGGTTTAGGGTTTAATGCCGAAGCGTGCCCCCACCCCTCTTGCCCCACAAGGGTCCTCAGAACCCGAGGGCCTGAAGTAGAACTTGCCCTATACCCCATCAACCCTAAACCCCAAACCCTAAACCCTAGCCCTAAACCCTAAACCCTAAACCCCAAAATCCTAAACCCTAAGCCCCAAACCCTGAACCCTAAACCCCAAACCCTAAACCCCAAATACAGAGACCCTCAACCCAACACGCCCGCAAGCCACGGAGCTCTTTAAGAACCCCAAACCCTGAACCAAAGATCCTTACCCAAACCCATAAGCCGTGAACCCCAAAGCCTAAACCTCAAACCCTAAACCCCAAACCCTAAACCCTAACCCGAAACCCTAAACCCTAAACCCTAAACCCTAAACCCTAAACCAAGCCCAGAAACCCTCAACCCAGAATGCCCTTAAGCCGCGGAGCTCAGTGAATAAGGCCAGGGGGAGCACATTGAAGGAGATTCCCAGGAGCGGAAAACCTGCAGAAAGTGATGGTCGCATTCCTTTGATGGGGTTTAGGGTTTAGGGTTTCGGGTTTAGGGTTCTTAAGGAGGCGCACTCCCAAACATTCTATTACTTTATTAAGTCTTGTAGACTTTTGGGAGCATTACCCCCTCTGCGAACCCTAAACCTAAAACCCTGAACCCTAACCCCTCACCCCCCCCCCCCCCCCGCAAAATCAAAACTCTTAGCCCTCTACACCCTCTGAACCCTCTAAACCCTCTGAGCCCTCAAAACCCTCTCAACCCTCCAAACCCTCTAAACCCTGTAAACCCTCTAAACCCTCTAAACCCTCTTAACCCTCTCAACCCTCTTAACCCTCTTAACCCTCTTAACCCTCTTAACCCTCTTAGCCCTCTTAACCCTCTTAACCCTAAACCCTAATCTTTCGAACCCCAAGTGCCCCCAGTTCAAGGGTGCTTTTGGGGGGCTTCGATGCAGCCGCGTCACGCTCGCAGATCCAGGTGGGATCCGGGGAGTTCTGACGGATGATTCTCCTTGGGGCTTGTCGGGGGTGGGGTTTAGGGTTTAGGCTTGAGGGGTTTAGGGTTTAGGGCTTGGGATCTTTAAAACAATGGCTGGTTTCTTCAGAAGGGAACCCAGAACCAAAAAAAGGCAAAGGGTACCACTGGGCTACCAAGTACATAGGGATGAGAAGGGGATACTGGTGGGAATTTCGGCTGCTGTCTAAGACACAGAGGTTTTGACGAGGCTCACGCAACTTTTCCCGTTACAGCTGGCGCCACATACGCCTGATGCAAGCCCTAAACCCTAAACCCTAAACCTTAAACCCTCAAACTTAAACCCGACACCCTTAACCTGAAACCCGAAACCCTAAACCCTAAACCCTGATCTAAACCCTAAACCCTAAACCCTAACCCGAAACCCGACACCCTGAGGCCATGGTTGAAGGTTCAGGAGCTAGGGGCTTTCAGACCGTCAAAAGAAAGATCCAAGTGTTGGAGACCCACCAGTACTGCTACTTACAATCCCCCAACCCTCCTCAAAGGAGGGTTTAGGACTTAGGGCTCAGGGCTTAGGGCCCTAAACCCTAAACCCTAAACCCTAAACCCTAAACCCTAAACCCTAAACCCTAAACCCTAAACCCTAAACCCTAAACCCTAAACCCTAAACCCTAAACCCTAAGTTTCGAGGCCAAAGCCCTTCCCAGCACCCCGGTGGCCAGGTGTCAGTAGGATGCCGTAGGAGCAGTAGATCAGGATCCCAAGCACGTGCTTTAGCCTTGAGGGCGTTTAGGGTTTAGGGTTTAGGGTTTAGGGTTTAGGGTTTAGGGTTTAGGGTTTAGGGTTTAGGGTTTAGGGTTTAGGGTTTAGGGTTTAGAACTTGAATCTGGGAAACCACGCAAAGCCGAAAACCCGTAGTTAGTCACCTAAGCCCTAAACCCTAAACAATCCGAAAGAACCCTAAACCTAAAAACGTGAGAAACCCGAAGGCCCTAAGTAAACGAAACCCTACGAACAAACTGAACCCCAAACGGCGCAAATTCCAATTCACCCAAACCCCTCGGCCCCAAACCCTAAACCCTAAACCCCAAACCCCAAACCCTAAACCCTAAACCCAGGAGGGCGGGGGAACCACAGTGGAGGGTCCCTCCCAGATTCTCTAGATTCGCGTACTCTGAGTAGTTTAGGGCTTCAGGCCTCTCAGGGCTCTTAGGGCTTTTAGGGCATTTAGGGGGCTTTTAGGGCGGCTTTTGGGATTGTTAGGGTTTTAAGGGTGTCCACCCTAAAATGCTATAAAGAGAGCCCATGGCCTGTCCGAAATCCTAAACTGCTATTTGCTCAAGAACCCCAAAAGAATAGCAAAATGTTAACCCCTATATTCCCCTTCATAAGGAAGAATAGTCTTTGGTTTTTTTGGGGTTCTTAAGCAATTAGGAGTAAAAGCCCTGCGGTCGCAAGCCCCAAGCTGGGCCCAAGGCAATGACAGAAGCGCCTCGGAGGGTTTTGAGGGTGTAGGGTTCAGGGTTTAGTGTTTCAGTTTAGGGTTCAGGGCTTTGAGCTTTGAGGGTTTAGGGTTTAGGGTTTAGGGTTTAGGGTTTAGGGGCCCTACGCCTTCAAGCCAATCAGAGAGATAGAGAGAGGGAGAGACGAATATCCTAAACCCTAAACCCTAAACCCTAAACCCTGAACCCTGAACCCTGAACCCTAAACCCCAAAACCCTAGACCCCAAACCGTAAACCCAGAAGTTTTGGGATGCTCCCCCTTATACCAACAGCCCTTCATGGGGAGATACTCGGGGGCCATCAAGGACTGCTGGAAAAAAGGGGGAAGCATCCCAACGGAAGCCCCCCAAGTCCCGGAAAACCAGCCCAAGGCCAGCCCCAAAGAAGCTTAGACCCCCACAAGCTCTGAAGACGTGAAACCTCCCCCCCCCCCCCCCCAAAAAAAAAAAAATATTGCCTCTGCGAGCCCTGTCTAACTAAGCCTCTAAGCCCTAAAGCCCTAAACCCTCATTCCTAAACCCTAAACCCCTAAACCCCTAAACCCCTAAACCCTCAACCCTAAACCCCAAACCCTAAACCCCTAAACCCCAAACCCCTAAACCCCGAAACCCTCGGGGCCGGGACCTGGGCCCTCCAAACGTCGATCTGCTTGAAGAGGCCCCTGCATCCCCAGGGCTTGCCCTAAACCCTCAACCCTAAACCAGCCTTAAACCCAAATTTTGGACCCTAAACCCTAAACCCCAAACCCTAGCCCTAAACCCTAAACCCTAGACCCTCAACCATGAACCCTAAACCCTGAACCAGGGCTTCGAAGGGTCAGAAAGGTTGGGGGGGAGGGGGGGGTAACAGGGCCTTTGAAGGGTTTGAAGGCGTTGAAGGGTTTGAGGTGTTTGAAGGCTTCCAAAGGTTTGAAGGGTTTAGGGGGGTTTGAAGGGTTTAGGAATTGAAGGGTTTGAAGGGTTTGGGGTTTAGGGGTTTAGGGGTTTAGGGCTTGAAGGGGTTGCGGGCCTAAGGGTTTGAGCACAAGATTCGTTACGAATATAGGCCGCAGCCTCTTTAGAAGAGAGGCTGGACAGACCCAAAACCCTAAACCCTAAACCCGCCCGCCCCCCCTCAACGCTCTATTGGGGTAGGCGGGCGCAGTCGAGCGCTCAGCGAGACCAGGGCAGGCTCTGCTGGGCTGCAGAGCCTGCCAGCCGCACCCCTGAGGGGTCGCCGAGCTAGAGTCGCCTAGCATTGTCACAGATATATTTTATTACCCTAAAACCCTCAAAAAAGATCCTTTTTCCATTTGCCTGGACCTGGCCTGGTCCTGGCCCTGGCCCTGGCCCTGGCCCTGGCCCTGGCCCTGGCCCTGGCCCTGGCCCTGGCCCTGGCCCTGGCCCTGGCCCTGGCCCTGGCCCTGGCTGTGGCGCTCGGGCCTGGCCCTGCCCTGGGCCCTGGCCCTGGCCCTGGCCCTGGCCCTGGCCCTGGCCCTGGCCCTGGCCCTGGCCCTGGCCCTGGCCCTGGCCCTGGCCCTGGCCCTGGCCCTGGCCCTGGCCCTGGCCCTGGCCCTGGCCCTGGCCCTGACCCGGCCCTGGCCCTGGCCCTGGCCTGGCCCTGGCCCTGGCCCTGGCCCTGGCCCTGGCCCTGGCCCTGGCCTGGCCCTGGCCCTGGCCCTTGGTCCTTGGCCCTGAATCCTCCTGCCTGAGCCTGAACGCTGCCCTGGCTCTGGCCCTGGCCTGGTACCTCTCACCTGGCTCTGGTGGTGCTCTGGTTCTTTGGCTTCTTGCCAGACTGCACCCCTGGCTGTGCAACCTCTTCGCGCCTTTTTGAGAGGGCCCTTCGGCCCAGACCGTCCCCCTCGCGCAAACCTGAAGGAGAGTCCTTTGCCTTATGGACCCAAGTGACCCACAACCTGCAAGTTCACGCCTGAGTTTTCTGTGAGAGGGCCCTTCGGCCCAGACCGTCCCCTTCGCGTAAACCTGAAGGGGAATCCTTTGCCGACGTGTGAGTTTTGAATGGTTGCCTTAGTTTGGGCTGGCTCCGGCTCGGTTTCGCGGATTTTGAATGGGCCGGCTTGGTTTTGGCTGGCTCCGGTTTGATTTCGCAGTGAGTTGTGATAGGGTGGCCTTGGGGTGGGCATGTCTTCACACTATTGCGTTCAGCTGACCCGTGCTACACCCTAAACCCTAAACCCTAAACCCTAAACCCAATACCTGCCAGAGCTTGGCATGGTGGGGTCGGTGGGGAGATTGTCGCTCCCTGCCATATACCCTTCAAAACAGCAGACATAGGGTTTAGGGTTTAGGGTTTAGGGTTTAGGGTTTAGGGTTTAGGGTTTAGGGTTTAGGAATTTTGCTGTTCCTAGCATTATAGTCAACTAGCAATCACATAATATCGCTTTAGCAGGAGTGCGCCAACAGCCCCCCACCCAACTACCTTGCAACGTAGATTGTAGGATGTTCGGATAAACTGTCCTGACTTGAGGCGCTAATGAATGTACTTTTTTCAATATAAAAGAAACTAAAAAATATGCATACATACATCCATACATACATACATACATACATACATACATACATACATACATACATACATACATACATACATACATACATACAATAAATAAACACATGTACACATTATTATTTGTATAGATATATCTTGATATACATATGCAAAACACACACATACATATGGTTTAGGCGCGCACATATCCACGGCGGTTTAGGGGTCAGGGCTTCGCGCACGGAGGCAAGGCTTGCAGAAGCTCGCCGAATGAAAAGACGCCACTCAAAATGCCCTGAGCCCTAAACACAAGATCTTCATCAATCCTGAGCCCCAAGCCTAAATGGTCCTAAACCCTAAACCCTAAGCCCTAAACCCTAAATCCTGCACCCTAAACCCTCAACCCTAAACCCGAAACCCTAAACAGCGCGCCTGGCGGCGAAGAACCAGAAGGTGAGGATGAGGAGCCACATGGCCGAGCGGCAAACCAGGAACCTTGTGTGTAGGGTTTAGGGTTTAGGGTTAGAGTTTAGGGTTTAGGGTTTGGGCTCCACCGCACTTGGTTCAACGTGCTTAGGGTGCAGGGGTTGTCAGGGTTCGGATTCTCAGTTCTGTGATTCTAGGGCTTGGCGCTGATGGTGCCAGGATTCTAGAGTTTAGGGTTCTGCGTTGGGAGTCCATAATAGGGACGATAATTGGGGGTACTTTAATCCCAATGAAGGACTCTTACTAGAAGGGGGAACCTCCCAAGTTCTGTGGTTCTAGGATTCGAGGGTTTTGGGTTCTGGGGGCCCTTAGAAGAAGGGCCTCAAATCCCTTAAGCTGCTAAAGCCCCTTAAGCCCTGAAGCCTCTGAGTCAAAGGATCTTCACAGACTGTAACATCCCTCAAGAGGGTCTAGGCCAACCCGAAGCCCGAAACCCCTAAACCCTAGCCCTAAACCCTAGCCCTAAACCCTAAACCCTTAACCCTTAAGACCAAACCCTTAACCCCAAACCCTACAGCGAATCTTGGGGGAAATGTCTCGATGCTCACACTCGCGCACGCCTGGCAAGGGATGAGTTTTTTTTTTCGGTCATGGCCTTTTTAAAATAAAGCCCGAAAGATGAAGCAGGGTTTGTACCCTGTTTCATATGGTGCTGGGTTAGTGCTGGGTTAGGGTTTAGGGGTTTCAGCATTGGATTCCCGAGCGCCAAAGCTTTCAGGGTTTTGGCGTCTAGCACTTGGAGGTTCTTAGGTTATACGCAGGGTTATATATCAAGAGGGTAATTATGGTCGTAAGCTTCTTTAGGGTACTCCTAACCCTACTTACAAGTACCCATGAGCCTCCAAAACCCTAAACCCTAGCGTCTAAACGCGAAACCTTAAAGCCTAATCAAGTAAGGGTTTTAGGCTCTGGCAAGCGCCTACCTTATCGCCGCACAGAGCCCGTCGTGGATTTCCCCAACACCCGAGGGGGCACCATGGCAACTTGTCAATGTACCCTACGTAAGCTGCGGGGGCTTTCCGAAAATAGGGGACGGGGGGGTTCCTATAAATAGGATCCTATAAGATTTGGGGGTAGATGAAGGGTGTAGGATTTAGGGTTTAGGGTTTAGGGTTTAGGCTCTGCGCCCCCTAATTTTGGGAAATGCCCATGGGTGGAGTGTTGGGACCTTCTTGATGCTGCTCAGCAGCCACTTGATGACCGTCAGCGTCTCCACAACATCCTCGGCTCTCTGGGGAAACTGGGGTTTTTGGGGGGTTTAGGGTTTAGGGCTAGGGTTTAGGGGTTAGGGCTAGGGTTTAGGGTTTAGGGCTAGGGTTTAGGGTTTAGGGCTAGGGTTTAGGGTTTGGGGTATAGGGTTTAGGACCTCTGGGGAGGTTATTCTGCCCACACTTCGGGAAATTGGGATTGGGACTTTGGAGCTTAGTGGTTCGGGTTTAGGGTTTAGGGTTTAGGGTTTAGGGTTTAGGGTTTAGGGTTTAGGGTTTAGGGTTTAGGGTTTAGGGTTTAGGGTTTAGGGTTTAGGGTTTAGGGTTTAGGGTTTAGGGTTTAGGGTTTAGGGTGTAGGGCCTCCGGACAGAATCCAAGGGCTTCGGGATAAATCCTCAACCTCTCATGCTCGAACCCAAGACCGGCACATTCGTCGTTCTCTCTTCTTGAGGAACTTAAACTAAGTCACCGTTGTATGAGATATAGTCCCCAAACCCTAAGCCCTAAGCCCTAAGCCCTAAGCCCTAAGCCCTAAGCCCTAAACCCTAAACCCTAAACCCTAAACTCTAAACGTATGGCTTCCGTTCTTTTGTTGAGCTCCTTTATAGAGCCACAGGAACCTCAACATCGGCCGAGACCTGTTGCGAGCACGCCAGCACATGAAGCCCCAAACCGCACCCTATACCCACCAAAGGGTTTAGGGTTTAGGGTTAGGGTTTAGGGTTTAGGGTTTAGGGTTTAGGGTTTAGGGTTTAGGGTTTAGGGTTTAGGGTTTAGGGTTTAGGGTTTAGAGTTTAGGGTTTAGGGTTTAGGGTTTAGGGTTTAGGGTTTAGGGTTTAGGGTTTAGGGTTTAGGGTTTAGGGTTTAGGGTTTAGGGTTTAGGGTTTAGGCCAAGCGCGTGGAGGCCAAATCTCAATTCTAAGGGCCCCTGCATAGAATGTATAGGGCCCTATATACTCCCTTAACGGGTAGATAGGGTACCTTTTACCCCAAGAAGAACTGTAGGCCCCTAAGTCCTCTAAGTAGGTTATAAGTAGACTTGTAATTCTGTGCAAGGTTTCGCTCGTGTGTAGGGTTTAGGCTTTGGGGGTTTGGGTTTGGGGTGCAGGGTATAGGGTTTAGAGCTTAGGGTTCAGAGTTTAGGGCTAAGTAACAATCTGCATACTTCTAAGGACGTCCTTTACGGGTTCTGGCTACCAACATCTACCAACTCATGAGGAACATTCGCTTGGGTTTCGTGGCTTTGGTATGGACATCTCTGCAATAGCTGGGCTATATTTTTTTGCGGCGGGGTGGCTAGAAAGCAAACTTCCCTAAACGCTAAGCCCTATCTTGGGGTAGTAACCCTAAACCCTAAACCCTAAACCTTAAACCCTAAACCCTAAACCCTAAAAAGCATGGGCCCTAACAAGGGGACCCCCTCATATGCCTCCCATATACCCCAGACAACACAAGGGCTTGAAAGGAGGTTGCGGACCATATTGAGGGGTTAGGGTTTCGGGTTTAGGGTTTAGGGTGAGGGCCCATTTTCCTACCCTTAGAATTAGGGACCCGAAACCAGAACTAAACCCTATTAAACATTCAACCTCTATGAGGGTGTTTGAATGGACTGGGGTCCATAACACTTTCGTTTGTTGAAACCCGACCCCAGATAAAGGGCACCCTTAACCCTAAACCCTAAACCCTTAACCCTAAGTCCTAAGCCCTTAAGCTCAGTGGCGCCCGCGCTAAAACTGTGCAGCTTGAAGAGAGCGTAGACCTCATAGCACGGGCATTTGGGAGCACATTTCCATCGCTTTAGGGTTTAGGGCTCAGGGCTCAGGGCTTAGGGGTCTAGGGATGCAAGCATATGGGCCTGGAGAGGCTCGCGCACGCCAAGCCCTGAGCCCTAAGCCCGAAGCCTTCTCATCCCTGAACTCTATAAACCCGAAACCCCATAATCCCTAAATGGCCTTCATAGCCCCCTTCGGGTCTTAAAACATATCTGGTTCAGGTTACCCGCCCTAAGCCCTAAACCCTAAACCCTAAACACGAAACTTTCAACCCCGGTGCCGTCGAGCCGATGGTGACAAGAAGGGAGATGAATGCCTGCCCAGCACGGCATGTATACACATATATATATATGTGTGTTATACACCTTTTTAGTATATCTTACCTATATATGTATATATATATACACCTTTTTGTTTAGTATATATATATATGTATATATATATATGTGGGGGGGGGTACTCTAAACCAATGGAAGTTACAGGGTTTAGGGTTTGGGGTTTATGGTCTAGTGCTCAGGGCTTGGGGCTCTGAAGTATGGCCGCCGGGGTTTACAGGTTCAGGGTTGGGGAAGGAAATAGTGACCACAAGCTCCCGGGAAGTTGACACATGATATCCCCAAAAACCATGTCTCAGCCCTTACAAGCCCCAGACCCTAAACTCCATAAACTCCCTAAACTCCCTGAACCTAAATCCCTAAACACCCAAAACCCTAATTCAACCCTAATCTGTGGGATGCGCCTTATATTGTCAGTCCTTCATAGCGATTATAGTACCCCCTCTCTTCACGTATTCATTCTATTATTGCATCCCGGGCGAAATAATAAATAATAAATTCCCGGGGCAATATTAATATTATAATGCCGTGCGAACGTAATGAATGAATGCACGGCGTAAACACTATTAATGCGGCCTCATAATATTCCTTTTGGCCGCCAGTATTCTCTTCACGCTCATTATCTTCATTCGCTAGTATTATTCTCTTCGTTTCGTTCACTTTATTCATGCGGTTCATGCGCTACATTCATTTCATTCACTTCACTTATAACCGCATTAAAAAAGTTCTCTTCACCTTTCCTATTATCAAGGGACGGTAATACTACTGGTAAAGGAAGAACAAGGCGGTAAAACTCAAGGAACTAGACAAAAGGCCCCATAAAATACGCTAATTTCGTGCGTCTTTTCACTCCTTACAAATCCCCCCCCCATTGTAATGTCCATTAAGGACTGCTAGTATAACGGGGAACCAAATGAAACCCTACCCTAAAAACCCCTCAGAACCCCTAAAACCCCCAAAAATAGGGTGCAGGGTTAGGGCTTAGGGTTTGGGATTTAGGGCTTCGGATTTAGGTACAGAGGGCCTCGAGTGTAGAGTTTCGGGAAATATGCTCTTGGGCTGATGGGGTTTGTGGGGTTGATTGTGCATTCGCTGAGCTTAGGGTATGAAGTTTATGAATCTGCCTGTTTTTGTTAACATTAGGAACTAGGATGAACTAGGAAGGTAGGGTTTAGGGTTCAGGGTTTATGGTTGAGGGGATCACTGGCTACACCTAATCTAGAGCCCTTCACCTTGCACCCTAAACTTTAAACCCTAAACCCTAAACCCCAAACCCCAAACCCTAAACCCCAACCCCTAAACCCTAAACCCTAAACCCTAAACCCTAAACCCTAAACCCTAAACCCTAAACCCTAAACCCTAAACCCTAAACCCTAAACCCTAAACCCTAAACCCTAAACCCTAAACCCTGCGTCTGCCTGCTTCCGCAGTTCCTTCAAGAGGCCTCCGAAACGTGCGAAGTTGCGGCTCAGGGAAGGATAGCTGGGTTGTTCGCCCAAGTGTAGCCTAGTTAGGGTTTAGGGTTTAGGGTTTAGGGTTTAGGGTTTAGGGTTTAGGGTTTAGGTTTTAGGGTTTAGGGTTTAGGGTTTAGGGTTTAGGGTTAGACCCAAGCGCAGCCCAGGAATAATAAAGGGTACCCCTTTGGCTTACAGGGGCTTCCAAGGGAACCTAAGCCCTAAAGAACGGGAACAAGGGTCTACTCTGGGGTCCTCCTAAACCCTAAACCCTAAACCCTAAACCCTAAACCCTAAACCCTGGGGGTCCTAGTCAAAAGCATCCCATCGTTGGTCACCACTTTTGCGTGCGCAGGGTCCAGGGTTGATCCTTCTGTTCAAGGGAATTCGAATCCCGTTTCGGGTGCCAAGGATAAGACCTACGTATGTCTATGTCCAGCCCGTTATGATGAGGACCATGTATCTAGGAGACGTGAATATGGGCATTAGAACAGAGGGCCATGCTGCAACCCTAAACCCTAATCCGTGACAGGGCATGATTGCCACTCTGCTGTGGGGGGAGGGGGGGGGGGGGTTCCTTACTTGGAATGGGCATTTTAGGTGGCTGGTTTGCCATTATATAGGGACTCTGAGAGCATAACTCTGGAACATATTCAGGCTCCTAACCCTAAACCCGATGAACGCGTGCGCGGAAGCCCCGGGAAGGAACACAACCTACCGCAAGCCTTGTCTCAAGGGATCCAACCACGTAGCTTCAACGTTGTACCCCCTTAATGGTGTTAGCGTTAGGGTTTGAGGGTGGGTTTAGGGTTCAAAAGGTTTGGTTTCAGGGGCCTATGTAGTGAGAATGAACCTGCTGGTCACGTAGCTTTAGACATACGGGGCGATTGTCGGGGGTTCCTTCTTGTGGCAGCTCTTGAATCAGCTCTTCGGGTTCTGACATCCCTTAAACACCTAAACCACCCTAAACCCTAAACCCTAAACCCTAAACCCTAAACCTTAAACCCTAAACCCTAAACCCTAAACCCTAAACCCTAAACCCTAAACCCTAAGCCCTAAGCCCTAAGCCCTAAACCCTAAACCCTAAACCCTAAACCCTAACCGGCATGTGAGCGCTTGATCCAAGCGACGGCCGCAGCTGTAATGTAGGTGGAACCACCGGCAGAACTCCTGGTAAGACACTGGATCGTTTGCTTCGCAGGGTTTAGGGCCGGGTTTTGAGGCTTATGGCTTGGGGCTTACCGCTCCTGGATTAGGGAGTTTTTTGTATAGGCCCCTGTTGAACCAAACTGGGCTCTTGGAATTAACTAGTTCGTGGTTGAGAGAATATTAAAAATGAAAATTTATATCCCTTGTTGGGTTTATATACCCTTAAACATGTAAAATGTTATGCTAAGATGGGCACTTTGAAACTCCTCGAAACTTCCCGGGACTTGAACGGGCCGGGCAGTTGTCAGATCTCACCAAAGTGCCCGCAATCCTCATCGCTTCAAGTGATCATCAGATCGCTTTCTCAGGCCTGCAGAACGCGGGTTCGAGCCTTCAAATGGCGCACAGAAGTGCGCATCGTCCACAGCTCTGCCTCGTACACGTCGTAGAGGCGCACAGACAATGCCGCTTCTGGATGTGGGCTCTTTGGGGTGGTTATTACAAGGGTTGTAACTACTAATTGCTTAAGAACCCCAAAAAAAATTAAAAGTATTCTCCCTCATCAGGGTAATATAGGGATTCATATTTCTGAATCTTTTGGGGTTCTTAGGCAAATGGTAGGTAAGGGACGAAAAGGGAAACTGTTCGGCTTTTGTATTTCCGGATAAGGGCCTAGGGGCGGAGGGCTTCGGACTTTGTCACAAGTTCAAGCGACTAACTTTTTGTCGCCCGTGGATCAAAGGCCTTTGGCACCCTAACCCCTAAACCCCAAACCGCACATCCAGGAACATGTCTAGCCCCCTAAACCACTATACCCTAAAACCCTCAACCCTGAACCCCTATACCCTAAACCCCTAAGCCCATTAACCCTAAACCCATAAACCTATAAACCCATAAACCCATAAACCCATAAACCCTGAACCCTAAGCCCATAAACCCCTAAACCCGAAACCTTAAACCCTAAACCCATAAACCCATAAACCCATAAACCCATAAACCCATAAACCCATAAACCCTAAACCCCTAAACCCTAAACCCCTAAACTTAAGCCCTAACCCCTAACCCCTAAACCCTAAACCCTGTACCATCTCAAAGGAGCAGTCTCTGGGCAGAGGACGGAGGAACCTACCTCCAGCTCACAAGGCACCCAGAATCGAGACCCAAGGGTAACTCGGAACAACAAGGGTGCCCTTTTTGGTTTAGGGTTTAGGGTTTAGGGTTTAAAGGAGCTTCCATGGGAACTTAAGCCCCAAAAAGAGGGAATAAGGGCCCACCCTTCGTCCTAGAAACGTAGTACCTCTACTCGCATCGAGGACCACACCGAGGACAACGAAAGCTAGCCTGGATTGATGCCAATATGCCATTTACATTACTTTACACACATGTCTGTGTATACAATGTATATATATATATATGTATTTATTTATTTATGTAAAAAAGATTCTCAGAATCAGTCAGAGTAGAAACAAGTACATGTTACCTGAGCCCAAAGCCCAACCCCTTAAACCACACACTTAAAACCCTAAACCCTAAACCCTAAAGCCCTAAACTCCGGAACACTTCTTAGAGTTCAATACCGCACTTCTTGCAGGCCCCATGTGAACGATGTGTGGCTTTACGACAAGAACCTAAGATTTAGGGTTTAGGGTTTAGGGTAAGAGCAGAAACTACATCCAGTGTTGGTAGGGTTTTTGTTGTCCTGCGCTGCTCTCAGAAGTAGGCTTGCCGAGCGCATGGTACGTCAGGATCGATAATTATGGGGGGGTTTACGAGAATAGGGGTACCTTATTGCGGTGCTCTTGATAAGGGAATCCTAGTATTTGGGGTCCCTTATGTTCATAAGCCCCCCATATATTTTATTTCGCAAGATGTGGAGCTCCCTCGAAAGGCTACTTTCGGGCCTTCAGGCTTTAACTTTGTGCTCGTCGATAATGAGAAAAGAAGTTTAGGGTTTAGGGTTTAGGGTTTAGGGAAATCGTCTTCTCAGGCGCCGGAACATAAACCTCATGTGATTTAAGGACTACTCCTTAAACCTTAAACCCTATAAACCCTATAAACCCTATAAACCCTATAAACCCTATAAACCCTATAAACCCTATAAACCCTGTAAACCCTACAAACCCTGTAAACCCTAAAACCCTACAAACCCTGTAAACCCTAAAACCAGAAACAAACCCTATAAAAACCCTATAAACCCCATAAAACCTATAAACCCTATAAACCGTAAAAACCCTATAAACCCTATAAACCCGAAACCCTAAGCCCTGGAACCCCTTAGCCCTACAATCCTATAACCCTAAACCCTAAACCCTAAACCTCCTGGCTCTCGCTCCTCGTTTTCGCTGTCGGGGAAGCTTCGCGGGGCCGCCCACCTGCGACCAGGGACCAGCATGAGGGTTCCGGGCTTGCGGTCGCTTTGACTCTTTAGGTTTAGGGATTAGGGTTTAGGGTTTAGGGTTTAGGGGTTAGGGTTTAATTAGGGGTTTAGGGTTTAGGGGTTAGGGTTTAATTAGGGGTTTGTTTGCGCAGGGTTTAGAGGTCACGGATTTAGTGTGTGCGTACTTGCATGTCGTCAAGATGTTTGGCGTGTGTTGGCTTATACCTCCTGCGTGACCCTAAACCCTAAACCCTAGACCCTAAACCCTAAACCCTAAACCCTAAACCCTAAACCCCAAAGCCTTGAGGCAAGGGCTCGGCTTTGCACTGGAGACACCGATGCGCGGAGCAAGAGCTGTACTTCTGGTATCGATCTCCGAGCTGCTTAGAAGTACCCGTGCACCCCCAAGCAACTCCCTAAACCCTAAACCCTAAACCCTAAACCCGAAACCCTAAATAGAACTGGGATCCCAATAAGTCATTCACCGGCACCTGCCCCTCTCTGCAAAGGTGCACCCTAAAGCCTGAACCCTAACCCTAAACCCCAAACCCTAAACCCTAAACCCCATGGGCCATGCCTCTTGCAGTGCCAGATCCACTGCAACCTCTTGAGCCACTGCGCCCGGGTGAAGCTGCCCATGATCTGGCTGCTTTGCCTGAGCTCTTCGCGCGAAGCCCCTTAGGGTGTAGGGTTTAGGGTTTCGGGTTTTGGGCTTAGGGTTTCGGGTTTAGGGTTTAGGCATTTCACGAAAAACCCTAAACACTAGCATCCCCATAAACCCTACATAACCCCACAAAGGCCCTGAGAACTCGGTAAAAAAAAAAACCTTGGAACCCCCTTTGAAACCCGAAACGCCCCAATGGGCTTCGAACCTCCAGAAAACCCTAAACCCTAAACCCTAAACCAGAAAACCCGAACCTCAAGGGTCTCAGGCTGGCGCCCCACCCCCCCCTGGAAAGCCCCAGGTCTCGAATTTCGGTTTAGGGCTTCTTTCAGGGTTTTTCAGGGTTTTTAGGGTTTTTTGGGTTTTTTGGGCTTAGGGTTGATCGATCCTCAAGCTCGCCTTGGCTTGGGCTTTTATCTGTGGGTCGGGTCAGAGGTGGAGAGATGTGAGCTCC